TTTAGCAGAAAGACACCTTACTTAAGTCTGGCTAATTCTTGCTTCCTCGATCTTGCCCAGCCGCATGGAGCTTGTCGCTCAGATTGCATAAGCCAACATGTTGGAAGTGGGCATATTGGATACCTCAAGCTCTTGGCCTAACTATCTCACTAGATCACAGCCGTAACCTGGGCCGTCTCCTCTCTCGTTTGTGCAATCCCCAAAAGACAACATTGGAGATTTCCCCAGGTCTCAGGAGCAATTAAAAAACAAAAAAAGCCCAGAAACATTTTTCAAGAGGTGAGACACCCAGATTACCTGATAACTGAGAAGTTGGGTATGTGCTGAGCCCAGTGGCTAGAGACAGGGAACATTTGCTCCGTGGATTGCCAACTGTTCTTCCTTCTGGGAGTTGAAGAGCTCCTTCCACCTCTGCCCTACTAAAAATCACGTTTCTGGGGAATCCATCAGTATAATTCAGTCCTCTAGACCATTTTACAGAGAGCTGACCAGATAACTGTTGCAGTTTTGCTTTCAACAGGGATAAATCTGCAAGTCACACTGTTTTTAAAGACTGCCCAAGGATTGTCTGTATGTGACACGCTGTTGGTGTGTGTGTGTGAGAGACACAGAAAAGAAAATAATATGAATCACTCCTAGAGACATGCAAAAAGCAGGGTTTTTCCAGTTTGTCCTGAAGGAGACAAATATCTTTCATCTGAACGTTGCCAAAGCATGCTCAAATTGCTTCCACCAAAATGAAAATATTACCTCTAGCTGATTTTCACCTATAGATGTCTCTAATCAGGATAGCCCCGGGCATGTGCTTTTAAATAACACTGTTTATTACAGTTCGATTGGCAAGATCCACTGAGTAGCTGGTAGGAGTAGCTCAGAGATCACTACCCTAATTGCACGGATGTGTTAAGACAGACAGACTCTTGCTTCATAAGTCACACGACTGTCCCTCCAAAATGCATCAGAGCTGCACAAAGGCACTCAGAGCATTAAAACAAGGCAGGATTGTGCAATTCGAGCCCATCCTGGCACAACTGGCACATTTGTCACCCAGTTGGATGGGCCACACTTTCAGGGCTGTTAGTCTGGAGGGGCATTTAGCAGCGGGGGGGGGGGGGCGTTTT